TTTCGTCGACGAGTGAGCCAGTATTGCACGTTGAGGCCGGAACGAGAACCACAGAACAAGAATGAGCATATATCGTCTCACAACAACGGAAACAAGTCCTGTGGTATGCTGGCGCCACGCACGTGATACCAGTCAAAATAAGGGTCTTGGCTTGTGTGGTACAGAAACGTTAAAACGTCGGAAAACGGTACACGTGCCCATTGTTGGAACAGGGGTATAAGTCGTATACTAAGCTAGTTTCCACAAGATGTTACCACAAGAAGTCATTGTAACCATGCGCCAGTGTAGTAGCCAAGGTCGTCCGCAGGCCACGAAGTGAAGTGTCCGAACGTCATAGGGCGGGAAGCTGGGTGTGGGTGGTGGCGAAGAGTCGTTTGGAAACTTGGTAGAGCTTGAACCGGCCCCCCCACAAAGTGGGGGTATTGCCCGCCTCCTATGAAAACCCTGGCACTGGTGAGAACGGAGTGTCCCCAGTCTTAAATGATTGTTGTTGTTGTTGTTGTTGTTGTTGTCGTTGTCGTTGTCGTTGTCGTCGTTGAACTCTCATTCTTGAAGAATAATTATTGTTGATCCCCCCCCACCGGTGCACATTGATTTTTTTCGATTGAAGTGCCACCCCCGGGGCTCGCACCTTGTTTTTTCTCAAGGAAAGTCTTCCTGCTCAAACTGTGCCCCTGCCCCCCGGGCTACAACAACAACGGCTCCCGCCTGAGACTTCCTCGATTTTTACTCAGGACCCCCGCTCCCGCCTGAGACTTCCGCGCAATTTACTCAGGAAAGGCGCTCCCGTCTGAGACTTCCTCGCAATGTAATCAAGACCCCCGCTCCCGCCTGAGACTTCCGTGCAATTTACGTGGGAACGGCGCTCCCGCCTGAGACTTCTTCGAATTTTACTCAGGACCCCCGCTCCTGCCTGACATTTCCGCGCAATTGACTCAGGAACGGCGCTCCCGCCTGAGACTTCCTCGCAATTTAGTGAGGACCCCCGCTCCCGCCTGAGACTTCCGTGCAATTTGCTCAGGAACGGCGCTCCCGCTTGAGACTTCCTCGCAACTTAGTCAGGGCCCCCGCTTCCGCCTGAGATTTCCTCACAATGTACTCAGGACTGCGCTCTCGCGTGCGACGTCCTCACAAATTATTCTGGAATTGCGTTTCGGCGCTCAGGAACCACGCACGCGCCAAGGACGCCTTCACAACGTGGTATCTTCCCTCTTCCTTCGTCCTTCCCCCTCCCCTTCCTCCCACTCTCCCTCGTTCTTCCCCTCCTCCTCTTGCAGGGCCCGCGCCAATTCCAATGGCGGGCAGAGAGATGTACGCCCCCGAAGGATTGTCCGCCCGTTCCGGTTTGCCCGTACGTCTAAGCCCGCCGGCCCCAGCAAAGAGAAATAATCCCCCCGAAAGGGGTGTGATCGAAGACGAAGAGGGCGGGTATCGAGGGTGTAGGGTATACGTGTTGAAAGACTCGCGGGCAAGTAAGAGCGTACAGCCTTAATCTGGTTGTTGTTGTTGTTGTTGTTGTTGTTGTTGTTGTTGTTGTGGTTGTTGTTGTTGCTGCTGCTGCTGCTGGCTGCTGCTGCTGGCTGCTGTTGTTGTTGTTGTTGTTGTTGTTGTTGCTGTTGTTGTTGCTGTTGTTGTTGTTGTTGTTGTTGTTGTTGTTGTTGTTGTTGTTGTTGTTGTTGTTGTTCGGTGGGGCTCCCTGTGGGGCCAGGGCCACGATCTTCGAGAGGGGTGTGCCGAAATGAAGCCTCGGTG